TGGGAGGTGCAGAATCTACTCATCTGGTGGTCGTCCAAGACAAGCATTGCATGTGAGTCCCCTTGCCTCTTTACCCTGCCACCTACCAATCTGCAGGGGCCTGTCTCTTTTTTCAATCTCTCCCTGCCCTCTGCATACAGGGGCTGGTTTCAGATTTCACTTGGTTCACAACATCCTCAATGAAACAGCTATGGGTCTTTTCTACATCATCTTCATTCTAGAACCTAAAGGAACAGCCTCAATCTGGAATTCTCAATCTCAAGACAAAGAAGAGAAGAAAGGTGTTAGGCCCCATGATCGCTCTTAAAGCTTCTTCTTGGAAGTGGTACATGTTACTCCTACTCGAGTTCCATTGCCTAAAGCAAGCCACATGCCCAAAGCTGATGTTGGTGGAGTAGGGATATATAATCTTTTTGCATGAGGTGCCCCACAGAGAGGGTTAATGAATGAGGATTTTTGAACAATTGTGAAATCTTCCTAGTCTGTCATCTTTGTCACAAATACAACCTTTGTGTTTCTTCCACATGCAAAATAAATACATATCCTTCCCAAGGGAGACCACTCAAATGACCCATTTAATCATGGCATCAGGCTCAAGTCCAGGACCACTAATAGTCTCTGTATCAGGTCCAGAGGTGGTTTCTCTTTTTTTTTTTAATTTTTTTTAATTTTTATTTTATTTATGATAGTCACACACAGAGAGAGAGAGAGAGAGAGAGAGAGGCAGAGACACAGGCAGAGGGAGAAGCAGGCTCCATGCACCGGGAGCCCAACGTGGGATTCGATCCGGGGTCTCCAGGATCACGCCCTGGGCCAAAGGCAGGCGCCAAACCGCTGCGCCACCCAGGGATCCCTTGATCCAGAGACCTATGAACCAAAATCATCACCATCATCATCACCATCATCACAAGTTATCTCTGCCCCACCTCCTCATACACATCCAATACATGAAATGGAACAGGGACAGGATAACAGCAGTAAACATCCCCATTTAGAAGGAAGAATGGAAGACACACAGCACTTACTGGTCCATAGTAATGGCAACATCCTCCTGGGCAGATGTTGCAAAGGCCCCCCACCTTTACCCGGGAGTAGGAGTGCTTCCTGGGACTGGTTCTCTAGTTCCACAGAGTAGCTCATCCTTTCCCATTTATCCTCCTTGGCCACACTTGAGAAAACACCAGAGGTTATGCCCTTCTGAAGCAAAGCAGCTGTTTCTTTCATGCTCATAGAAATTTGGGAGCCTTCAAGGTCTTGAACACTCATGGTCTTTTAAAAATCCAAGCTGGTGGCTTTTTGTGAAGAGGGAAAGAAGCTTCTTATCTCTTTGATTCCAGTCAGTTCTATGGGCTAACTGCCAAACCACAATTCTTTTCAGATATGCCTCTGTCTTTAGACTTAATTGTAAGCAAATGGAGCCTACCAGCTCCTTTGGGATAGTTGTACTCCTAATCTCTCTTTTCTGAATCATCCTGACTAAATGAAAGGCTTTAAGGGAAACCACTTTGACCAATTCAGAGGTTTCTACAAAAGGCATGAGAGCCATACACTTGATAAGGCCCTTGCTACAAAGATGAGTTTTACTCAAACTTTGTGGCTTAATGGCCATGTCAATTGTATGGTTAAAAATGTAGATCACCTGCCTGGAGTTTCTATGATATCTTCCATTTCTGCTTAAAAACTGGCCAATGATTTTCGGAGTCATCTCTTTCTTACAGTAGCTTGTCAAATGTACCGCCAAAGCAATCAAGTTATGCTACTAATATTCTTTCTCAAAAAAATGTTCCCCTAGGGACACCTGGGTGTTTCAGCCTTTGGCTCAGGGCATGATCCTGAGGTCGCGGGATCAAGTCCCTCATTGGGCTCTCTGCATAAAGCCTCCTTCTCCCTCTGCCTTTGTCTCTGCCTCTCTCTCTGTGTGTGTCTCTCATGAATAAATAAATAAAATCTTTAAAAAATTTCCCCCTAAAGCCCCAAGCTCATTTGTACATTATTTACAATTCTTACTTATTTCTGGCTTACAGTTTAACCAAATGCTTCACCACTGCCTAACACACAACACCATCTTTCCAATTTCCACTGATGGTTTCCTCATCAGCCGTCATCCAGCTCCAAAGCCAATGCCACATAATTCAGGTTAATTTTTAGTGTGGCAGCACCCCACTTCTGGGTACTAGTTCTGGGACAGTTGGTTTAAACTTATTCTGATGTGGCAACAACTAGTCTCCAAATATCAGCGGTTCACAGCAAGTGGGAAAAGAAAAGGCAAGCTACCAGACTACTCACTGATGCTTAAAGCTTCTATCTGGAAGTGATACTTTACATCTCTACTCATATCTCACTGGCCAAAGCAAATCATATAGCCAAGCCTACTGTAAGTGGGGCATGAATGTGTATTATCCTATAGTGAGTGGTCCAGTAGGAAGGACAGTATATATTTGGAACAACAATACAGTGTATCACAGGGCTGCACAAGAAATGTATATCATTGAGTTCGTCTACTCCTCCTTTATACACACTCTGCTGCAGTGTTTTGTACCATGTAAACACTTTACATACATCATGATCAAAGTTAAAGTCTTGACTTGAATTAGACAATTTATAGGCTGGTCAAAGTAGCCTGACTCAGACAACCATGTTCCTTTTCCTGGTAACTTGAACCACAAAATGTTGAATGAATGAGGCAATAAATGGGGGGAGCTACAGCTGAAAAGTTATGATGCAAGATGGATTCGGAAAAGCCACACCCAACCAAGACCCTGTTCCCTGAAAGTTGGGCTGACAGCAAAGACAGGATTTCAGTGCAAAATCTGCCTATAACTCCTCATTCAGTTCAGTTTCCCCCAGGGAAAGGGTATACACAAGGGAACCTGTGAAAACTCCAATGCATGAGTCCACCTGACTGCTAGGTCTGCCCCAAACTTGCCACTCACCTGTTCAAAAACCTTGCATATGTCCCCTAGCCCACAGGAAAAGTTCAAATTACTGGGCCCGGCATCTGAAGCCTCACTCGGCCATCTAGATACTCCTGTCAGGAGGTTCCACACGGCTTCCTGGGTAAGGAGGACAAGTAAGCAGGTTTTCAGGGGTGGCGCCGTCCCGCAAAGCCAATCTGAAGTCACATAACGCACACTGACACATCTGATAGTCTCTATCAGATCCCAGTAGGTGCCACGGGTGGGGCAGTTTTCCTCTGAAGGCAGAAAGGTGAGGGGTGGACAAAGGCGACCTACAGGACAGGATTCCGCCGAAGATGCAGGCCGCAGGGGGAAGAGCTGGAGATTCAGGGAAGCCCAGAAGCCCCGGACTCAAATCAATGTTTTACGGGGGCAGGATCTGTGCCGCCCCGCAGTTTTCCCCTCGAGCGGACATCCAGATTGTGTTTGCACACTGGGGAGAATGAGGAGCTCTTTCCTGTAGGTATCTAGGGCTTCATCTGTACACAGGATCCCAGGGTACCCACGCCCGTGACGAAGGCGTGGGTACCCTCCCAGCTGCCAAGCGGGCGGCTAGGGAGGGGGACCCAGCCACGCCTTCTCCGGTGAAGTCCCTGACTCACCAACCCCCGCCAGACTCTCACAAGCCAGTGCCGCCCCCGCCTCCTTTAGAGGTTTGGTCGTGCCTCGCCCTGCGATCCAATCACTTGTGGGTGCGACTGAGGACTCGCCGAGGCTCCTCCCACGTCAGTTCAGGGCTGATTGCGGCTGAATAGCCACTCCTCACTCCCCCAGGAGGTCCCTGGACGTCCTAGGGACCAATCCCGCTGCTCCTTAGAGGCGGCGTTTACTAGCGCGGCCCAATCGTGTTCCACTTGCGGCCAGGCCACGCCCCCTACACGAGGGGCGAAGCGGACCCTCGGACCTGGCGCAGGCGCCTTGCAACTGCCAGGCGAGGGTCACTCTGAGCCCACTGGGAGACGCTGCAGGCGGACGCCCAGGTGGGTGGAGGCAAAGCAGGCAGGGGTCTCTGGAGCCTAATCCCGTCCTCTGGCTCCTGCCCTTCCCCCCGCAGGTCCAGGGGCTGGGTCCCGAGACTGCACCCAGGGCATCGCGTCCACCCCTTCTATGATTCGCGTCACCCAGCACCCACACGTGTGGTACTTTGGCCCGACGGCCCAGGCAAGGGCAGCTTGGAGTAGCAGCGACGACAGCAGCAGCAGGGGCCTGTGGGATCGAAAGTGGGATGGGCTGCGGCAGCTGGAACCCGGCCTCCAGGACTTGATTGGGGTCAGGCGCTGCTCCACTCCAACCAAGCTTCGGAGCCAGGAACTAGCTTACCCCTTGAAACCAGGTGTCTGGCGACAGGTGCCACACCCAGCTCTGGAAGCTAGGCTTCTGGACTCGGAACTCTTAGAAATTTAGAGTTGGGGCCCAGAGCTCTTAGAAACCAAGGGTCAGGCTCCTCTGTCACCTCTACTGCTTCAGCCACCTAACCCCCTAGAAGCCAGGTGTGTTGATCTGGAGTCCCCAGTGCTTTAAGCTAAACTCTTATGTCAAAGGCTATGCCTTTTTCTGGGCTCTGCCCTGCAACCTCTCCCCTGCTTCTTCTCATAACTGGCTCCTCCTCATTTAACAGCCCACTGAAATGTCACCCTTTCTGAGACAGGACTTTCCCTGTTCACTGTATCTGGAGTAACAGCCTCCATTACTCAACTGTGCCTCGTGGCCTCAGGAAGGCCAATGGATGCCCACACACACCTCACCTATGTCCCAGCCTACCAGGCCCAGCTTCACTGCTTTGGGGTTAGGTACTCACAGTAATCCTTCCCCAAGGACAATACTGAGCCAGATGTGGGTGTTAGTCCCTCCCTGCCCACCGGTTCCTAAGGGAGAGTAGAAGGGCAGTGCTAGCCTGCTGTGGTCACAGCACCTGAACAGTCTGATTTGAGTCTTCCTCGGATGGGCCTGGCCCCAAAGATGGCCACGGAAAGAGAGGCCGCCTACGTAGAGGCCCTGGGCCAGCTCTTCCAGGAACATACATGCACGGGGCAGTCTCCAAGCTCATTTTTTTGTTTGTCTTTTTTTACTTTCTTACAAAACCATGTGTCCCAGCCAAACAGGACGCTGCAGGCCTTCCCCCAGGCATTGTGGCTGAGTGGAGAAGCCCCCATGAATGAGTGGCTGCCAACCCCAGAAGAACTGTCTGCCCCTCTGCACAGGGCCAGTGTGAGGAAGGGGGTCCAGTTGGAGGCTCTGTCCTGCCCTCCCCCCTCAGCTGCTGGGAGAGAAGGCAGACCCGGGTCCCCGGTGTTCTTAGAGCCTGTAAGGGAAGGAGGGAGAAGAGGGTCTAAGGGGAGGAGGAAAGGCAGGGGCCCAGGACGAGGCAGGCCAGGGGGCAGGCCCACAATAGCTCACCAAGAATGTGCAATGCTCTCAAACCAATGTGGCGATACCAATGATGACTGCCAGAATGACGACAGTGACAGACACACAAATGGCGATCAAGACTTTCTTCTGTGGGAGAGTTCAGGGAAACAAACTCAGAAGGGGAGGGAAGGCAACCAGGGCCTCAGACTAGAGGGGAGGGGAGGGGTGTCAAGGCTCACCTTCCGAGCCTTCTTCTGGTTCTCCAGGGCAATCTTGACATGTTCCTGCCCGCGTTCCACATAGTCTGCTGAGCTCAGGATGTTCTTCTCAATCCGGTTGATCATCTCCCCCTGCTCAGAGGAGGGGTCAGTTTAGGCAGGTAGGGATGACTGGGGGTGGAGAGCCCATCAGCTCCTCTGCTTGCTCACACTAGCGGCCTGAAGGACATTTACTGGCGGGAAATACAGCACTAACAAAGGTGTGGGGGTAGGACCACATCTGACCAAAGTGCACACTCCTGAGGGTGGCTTCCAGGCTCCCTTTTATTATGTAGTCCCTTCTGCCCTGCTCCCTTACCCCCTACAACCTTCATTTGCAGTGGTGGCTTGGAGCCAAGCGCCTTAAGAAGCTCATACCTTGTCACAGAGGGTGAACTTCTGTCTCTTTGTAAATCTGTCTGAATTTGCTCATTCTTCTAGGCTTGCTTCTCAACAGCTGTGAAGCCCTCCCCAACCCTGCCTCCTCATGGCACTGCCAGCCTTCAGGTCCTGGTACTCCTACTGAATGAAATGCCTTCCCCATGAATCCCAGCTGCACAAGGGCATTGGCTGCAGCACTAGAGGCCGGCAGCTTACCTCACCCCACACAATGGGGGCAGCAGAAGAACACCACCTCCCACCCCAACCTCATTCAGATTTGTGGAGGCATGCCCCCTAAGGAGCATCTTTGAGTAGAACTCTTAGAGGTATAAGGGTGGATTCTATTGGTGGAGGAGGAGCCAGAGTTGGGGCTACATCCTGGGTAGCTCAACTGGGAGACAGGGTAAGATGGTGAGTGTAGAGGAGTGGCCATCTGCGTAATGTGGAGGTGGAAGCAATTCTGGGGCTCAGCTACAGATGGGAGTGAGGGCCAGCCTGGGGGCATGGCCCAGCCTGGAGGGGGATGAAAGCCTCGGGGAGAGAGGCTAGAGAGTGGAGATGGACTGACAGACACAGTGGGGTTTCTGACTGAACATGGTCTCACATCAAGCCCAGCCAGCTGTCTTGCCCACCTGCATCTCCACTTCTGTAGCCAGGAAAGTGAAAATCTCATGAAGTTCACGGATGCTGCGTTCAAGCTGCTGGATCTCACTGTGCCGGGCTGAGATCTCATTTAGGGCCTGTCGAGTCACCTGTGTGTCCTTCAGGATCTGGGGAGCAGATAGGAATGGCCAGACAGGTCACAGGGAATCCAGCAGCAGATCAAAAGTTCATGTTGAGCTTTCAGGCAGCCCTCAGGCTTAGAACTGGGGCCAGGACCCTGATGAGCAACCCTAGGCATGCTAAGTCATTCCCTTCCAGGCCTCTGTATTCCCTCAATCAAAGGGGACCAGGCCTCAGCTAAGATGAGAGTCCCAGAAGAGGGAGGCTAGCCATGACCACTCACATTGGACACAAACACCTCGCTTTGCCCACTGTCCAGCATCTGCTCCAGCTCCTCATCAGACACCATTCCAGCATTTGCTGTGAAGGAAAAGGTCAGGCTCAGAGCTGGGTCAGGTTACCTGACCCTGTAGGCCAGACACCACAACTCACTGATCTTCAGCTGCCTCCGAATCCGCTCCACATTCTTCTCCCGGTACTCGGACTGCATCAAGTTGCACTTGTTGATGAGCTCCACGAATTGCTGGGACAGGACCCCATGCTGATGATAGAAAATATAGGCTGGGGGAATCCCTGGGTGGCTCAGCAGTTTAGTGCCTGCCTTTGGCCCAGGGCGCGATTCTGGAGTCCCGGGATCAAGTCCCACATCAGGCTCCCAGCATGGAGCCTGCTTCTCCCTCCTCCTGTGTCTCTGCCTCTCTCTCTCTCTCTGTCTGTCATAAATAAATAAATAAATCTTTAAAAAAAAAAAAAAGAAAATATAGGCTGGGCACCCCGGAAGGATTTGGCCTTAACATCCCCATAAGTATAGGGAGCAAACAGCATAAGCTGTTTTAGTAGCCTGCTGCCTTGATCACCATTCTCTCAAGGTCAAAGCCAAAGCCTTTACTAGGGCTTATAAGGCCCTATTGGACCTTTCCTTCCCCATTTCCCCTCTGACTTTATGTCCTCCAGCTGTTGCCTCACTCGCACCCTCTGACCACAGTGGACTCCTTCCTACCCCCACCAAAGCCACCCCTACTTCAGGCTTTGGCATTCACTGCTCTTTGGGCCTAGAATACTCATGCCTCACAGAGGCCTTTAAATCTTTATTCCAATGTCACCTTCTGAATGAAGTTTTCTCTACCTTATTAAAACCGCAACCTGCCTTCTCCCGTCACTCTCAATCCTCTTCTCCTCAGTTTTTCCCTTAATACTTAACTACGTTCTGGGCAGCCTGGGTTTGCTCTGGCTCAGTGGTTTGGCGCCACCTTTGGCCCAGGGTGTGATCCTGGGGACCCAGGATCAAGTCCCACGTTGGGCTCCCTGCATGGAGCCTGCTGCTCCCTCTGCCTGTGTTTCTGCATCTCTCTCTGTCTCTGTCTCTTATGAATAAATAAATTTTTTAAAAAAACCTACGTTCTAAAATAGTGGGCATATTTATTATGGTGTGTGTCTCGCCCCACCAGAACATAAGTTCCATGAAGATTGGGCTCTTTGGTTCACTGCTGCATCCTAAACAGCTAGAAAAGGGCCTAGCACACAGTAGGCACTCAATAAATACCTTTGAATGCTTGCTGAACACCAGCCTTGCAGCTTAGACTAAAGGTATGCCTGGAGGTAAGCCCATTGCCCAGCTCTTACAGGTCCGGCTGGACCCTCAGCCTCTCACACCAATGACTACCACAGTTTCCCCCTAAAACATCCTCTTATCTTGTCCATTCTCTTGCTTCCTTCAATGTGGTCATTCCTTGGAGTTCCTTCCTTAGAGACATATTTGCTCTCCTGCCTTCACCACATCATTGCAAGATACCCAAACTGCCCTATCTTCAATCCAGGGTACTTTCTGGCCCACCTACACCAACTCTGACCTCCAGGAACTCCAAATTACTCCTCCCTGGGCACCCAGACAAGGGCAGTTAGATCATCTCAAATCTCCTCACTAAGATGTTGATTCAGTGACCTTCTCCCTCCAGGGAAGTTCCTCTTCTTGATTTCTTGAATTCTGCCCATGGGGCAGAGGATAACCCTGTCATATGGGCAGGAAAGCTCCCTGTCATTTATGACCTTTCCCTCTTCTTCCCTGGGCAGGGATATTAGCTACCACACCCTACCTGAGTAATGTCTTTGTCATCTAGTCAAGCTTGACTCACCATGTTGGTTTCTAGAAAGCATGCCTTCCACAACCAAGCCCAGATCACATCTGGGGATTCAGCAACTTCTCATGAATGAAGAAGGTGACAGGATGTTAGGTGGATTGGGAGTCAGGAGACTTTGGGTGAGATTTTTTTCTCTCAGCCTCAGTTTCCCCACTTGAAAATCATTAGGTTGGACTTGATAATCTCTAAGGGCCCTTTCTCCTTACTTTTGCCACCGAATGGTCTATGAAACCCTTGCAAAATGTCTTAGTTCTGGGAATAATAAACCCACCTGGGTTTTTCTCATCCTTGTGTTGACTGAGTTATAATTCTCATCAGCTTCTTCATTCTGGGGCTCTATGGCTGTGGGAAGACACAAGGGGATTGGTGGGGAAGGAGATTTGATCTGTGTGGCTTCAGAAAATCATGTGGGAACCAGGATACAGGGTCAGGGCCATACCCCATCCATACAATAGAGAGGTGCTTATCTCCACAGTATTATTTTGGGAATTATAATTTATCATAAATGACTAATTATGAGCCTCTGACAGTAGCTCAAGTGTATTTTTCTTTGCAATACTGAGCCACACAGTCCCCAGATATACCAGGAGCTGGGCAGGACCACAGGGAAGGGTCTGTCTGAGGTCCTAGGGGCTCACCCTTCAGCTGTGCTCGGATCTCCCTCCCTAGCTGTTTGATCTCCTCACGCAGGTTCTGCAGGTCCTGCTTCATACCTGAAGAAGAGAAAGCCATGACTCCCAGACAGCAGCTCCTACCTCAAACCAACCTGCCTGGCCACCACCTGCACGGAACTACAATCCCCACAATCCCTCTGGCTGAGCTAGCGTTTGCACTTGGGGTTTCACTCACTCTCCTCGGGAAGGGGCGTGGCCAGGATGGTGACCTGCTGCTTCTCCAACTCCCGGACTTTATTCTCCAGCTTGACAATAGTCTGTCGAATTGTCCGGACCTGGGGAAGGTGACCGCGAGGGCTGAGGGAGATGGGGGATACTCCGGACCGCGCTGCTCCTCGGATCATCCAGCCGCCTCATGAAGACAGGCGGAGACCCTAGCCTCTTACCTTTTGGAAGAACTCCTCGTCCGGGCTCCCCAGCCGTGCCGTGCCCGGGTGTACCACCAGCGCGACCCGCTCCTTGTCCTCATCGTCCGAACTGTCATCCCCCTGCCACGGCCGGGGTGGTCACTGGCATCACTTCCTTGCGGTTGCTCTCTCCCCGCAGGACTCACAGACTTCCGGGTCTTTCCTTCCTAGCCCTCAGCCACCCCTCCCTGTCCCGAAGACCAGGAGTCCTGTATGCCAGCCAGACCCCAGCCCGTCCGCCCACCCCCAGCCCTGCAGCCCCCTCTCACCTGTCTCAGTTCGTGGGTCCGGTCGCGCATGGCGGCCCGAGCTCCCTCTTCCCGGCGCCGGAGCCCCGAGGGCCTCGAGACTAAGTTTGGAACTCCCGTACCCCACTCACACTCTGACACTGACACTTCCCTCCGCCCTCACCCTGCGGACCCCCGGGCCCCCCCCACGAGCCACCAGAGGCTCCGTCCCGGGCACCATCCACAGTCAGTGGGAAGCAGCCGACCCCGGGGACCCCCCAAGATTCCACAGGTTGGAATTCCCTTTTCTTCCCCCCCTCCCGTTCCCGTAGCCTCGGCCCCGCCCCTCTGGGATGATCGGGGCATGCGCACTGGGTCGCGTCTCTTCCTCGCCGGAGGGAGCCTGAGGTCGGAAGCTGCGGCGCCCCGAACGGAAGCAAAGCTGCCAGGACGTGAGAACCCGCCCCCTTCGCCGGAACTGTCGCATCTACCAACGGAAATCTAGTTGCCAGACCGGGTGGGAATGCGTCATCGAAACGTAATCTCAGAGGCCCTGCATCTCACATCACCCCATGGTGCCCCCCCCACGTCACATGACCAGCCCGGTCCCACCCTCGCGGACCTCGGAACGTGACACTTTGCTTGTCACGTGCCCCGGCGCTGTCAACCCCGTCTCTGGAGCACCTTTCTCCCCACGACGTCTCCGGGACCCTGGCGCCCAAGCTACGCCCCTCCAGCCCTCGCGAGGCGGGGCGGGGGCTGCTGACTACCCCCAGAGACCGTTCGGGGCAGTGGGTGGTAGGACCCTCGCTGAATTCGGCTTCATTTTCTTTTGGGTCCAGGGACGTGGGCAGACGGAGAACTTAGAATTCGGGGCTGTCAGCATCATGGGACCTTGAAATTCAGAAAATAATAAGATCCAGCGTCAGAGAATTGCAGGGTTTTGTAGGCAGAGAATCTGGGGGTGGAAAGTGACCTCACCCAAGGCAGAAATCTCTCCTCCCGCATCCTCCTGGCGCAGCCTCTGACAGGTGGGCGGCTGGCGCCCTGCATGAACACTGCAGTTCCGCCGCACTCACCACCTTCCGAGCATAAGACCATTTCAGGGCAACTAAAGCTGAGAAAAGTGTCTGTATTACATTGAGGAGTCTGCCACTTACATCTAACTCCCTCCCTCCCTAGCATCTGGGTCTACCCTCTGAAGCCCACAAAAAAATCTGCACACATTCCCCATTATAGTGGACCGTGGGCTCTTGAGGTCAGGGCGACGCAGTCTTGTTCTTACCTGAATCCCCAGGGCCTATTTCAGTACCTATCACATATGGGCCCTCAATAAATATCTGTGGACAGAACTTTAACCTTTCATGTATCTGAAGATAAAGCTTGTCTTTTGGGCTTCAGCCTCTCATGGTGACACTGCCCTAGCCCACTAGATGGTCATTCATTCAAGGGATATCCATTTGTTGGGCACTTATTATGGGCCAGAGACTGTTGTAGGGGTCGGAGATAAATCAAGGCCTAACTGACAAAAACCTTTCACTTGTGAAACATTATGTGAGAGCAGTCTCCAAGGCCACTCAGTGAGTCTCAGCATAGCCAGAATAAAAATCAGGTCTCCTGGATGCCAGGACTCTTTCCAGAGAACTTACATGAAGGTTCAAGCAAAAGAAAGACTGGCCCCTCTCTAGTATGTCCTGGTAAGGAAATCTATATTTCTGTGATTGAGTTGCTATGGATTTCTGGAAAGTCATGTCTTTGTCTCTGGGCCTCAGTCTCCCATCTGTAGGATAGATGGCATAGCAAGATGGAGAGATCATCTTTAGATCATCTTTCCCTGCTCTGAAGTCCATTGATTATGAGGTTGGAAAGTATAAACTGCTGTCTGATTCTATTAGAAGGGCTTTGATCCTTCCCTTCCCTTCTGTCCCCTTCAGAACCCAGCTCGCCTGGGGTAGGGAACAAAGGAGTGAAAATGGTGTGCTGCTCTGATCAACCTTCAGGAGAAATGAAGGGTTGGAGGGTTTTTCCAGAGGTCAAGCCCTGCTCCTTGGGGTCTCCTGGAGATCATGAAGGGTTTCCCCACTCTTGGGTCTTCAATGTCAGCCTCCCTGCCTCCCTGCCTCCCTTTCCTTCTTTCTGTCTGTCTGTCTCTCATACTCTGTCTCTCGGGGCGGGGGGGCAGTGGAAGGGCTTTAGGAACTTGGACTCCCAGTCCTGAATAACTTAATGATCTTGATCTTGAATAACTCGTTGCTCTTCTCTGGGAATTAGTTTCTCCATTTGACAACTTGGTCTGGTGATTTCTAAGGTAAGAATTGAACAGTATCAGGAGGCCTGGTAGCTCAGAGGTTGAGTGCCTGCCTTCGGCTCAGGTCATGATCCCGGGATCAGGGATTGGGTCCGCATTGGGCTCCCTGTGGGGAGCCTGCTTCTTCCTCTGTGGGTGTTTCTGCCTCTCTATCTCTCTCAGTCTGTGTCTCTCATGAATAAATAAATAAGTCTTAAAAAAGAATTGAACAATATCAAGTGAGGTGAGAAAGACTCTGGAAAGCTCCTATGAACTACCAAGGGTTGCCCACTCTCGGGGCTGTTATGATCGTGGATTCCAGCTATCCCTAGGACCACCAGGCCCACTTGCCTCTCTGTTAGTCTCTTGATGGTTTGCTTCTTGGTTCCCAGCTTTGATCTAGAGTTGTTGGTGCCTTTGTTAAATTTCCCAGGACTATAATATTCATTATTGTATTTGTGGTCTCTGGGTGGGATCACAGGGCTTTGGAATGGTGGCTTAAGGTCGCAGGAGGCTGAGCTTAAAGCCTCATGGAGTGGTATGTAGAGACAGTGGGGAGCACAGGCCATGCAGGGAGAATAGCTCTGGGGATGGAGCTTCCAGAGCTGAGCCCTTATCTCTGTTTCATGGTTTTGGGCGTTATTCCTCTTGGCCCCTCTGAACAACCTTGATGAATGTATTAAGCATACTGGGTCTGGGAGGGGTAGATACTAGGGATGTGTGTGTTTTCCTTCCAGCGTGCAGGAAGGTCAGGCCCTACCCAGTCCTGAGGCATGGCGGCCTGTCCTGTCTTCTCCACTGCAGGGCCATCCTACCAACATCCTACCTATACTGGAGCCAGAAGCCCCGGGCTGGAATCCCAGCTCCTTCACCTCATCACACAATTCTCCAAGGCAAGTTACATAACCTTGCTATGCCTCAGTTCCCTCATTTGAGAAATGGGAACCATAACAGTACCAACCTCATAGGATTGCCAGAAAAATTAAATGAGATGATACGTGTAAAGTGAATAGAACAGAGTATGGTACAGAATAAATGCTATGTATGTGTTTGCTGCTGTTATATGGTGGTGATGATGGTGATTGTTGCCTGAGGGTGTCAGCAGTGCCAGTGTCTCCGCAGGGATTCCACAATGTGGCTTGTTCAGATTCTTCTTCCACTTTCCATCTGTGCCCGACTGTGCATCAGATACCAGGCTAGAGGCCTTGCCATGGTCTGCACGTCTCTCCTGTTTCGCCCTGGATCTGACACACCATATATTTTAAAATATTATTTATATTTATTTTATGTATTGTCTGTCTTCACCCCTTCCTGTCTACCTTCCAGAATATAAGCTCCGTGAGGACAGGGATTTCACCTGCATTATTCACTGCTGTGTCCCCAGTACGTCCAACAGTGCCTGGCAAATGGTAGCTGGTCAATAAATATGAATGAATGAATGAATGAAATTACTTTCTAATTTAATTTTTATATAGCATTTACTATGTGCCCAGCACCAACATAAGCACCTTGGAAATACTAACTCATTTAGTTTTCATAGCAGTTCTATGGGATAGGTACTGTTATTGTCCATATTTTACAGAGGAGGAAACTGGCCCACAGAGGTATTAAGTCATTTGCCCAAGGCTTCACATTAGTGCAGGACAGAGTTGGGATTTGAACCCAGAGAGTGGAGCTCTGGGTTCTGTGAGGTTCTCTTGAGCTCTTATCCACTCCACTATGATCCAAGGAAAACGTGGGTTCCCTGTGTCCACCTACCTTTGGTAACTTGCTGCCACCTATTGATGCCCTGCTCATCATCTGTGGGGAGGAGGGGGAAGACTTTTCCTGCAAGACTGAGCCTTCTCCCCTCCTCTGTCACAGGGTCTCTGTTCCATACCTGCTGGGTGGGGCTGACCGCTGGGGAGGCTGTTTGTCCTCTCCCATCTCCCTGTTTGCTCTGTCCCCAGAAGCCAAGGATATCTATGCATGTTTCATATAAAGGGCATCCGTTTATCCTACAAGTCTCTGAGGCTGGTTTTGTGCCAAGCCCCCACAGCTCTCTCTTCGTGATTATATTCATGGCCTGACCTTGACCACTCCCTAGAGTTCTACCTGAGAACTTCTAATCAAACGCTACATACACTCTTGTGACTTTAACTGGCATGCATATGCTAGCTCCCAAATTCGTGTCTCCAGGCCTCAGTTTTCTCCTGAGCTCCAGACTTCTGATTCCATCTGCCTACTGGACATCTCCTCCTGGAGGTCCCATAGGCACCTTAAATTCAACCTGTTTCATCGTCTCCCCCCTGAGACTCTCCTAAACAAGCTTCTGTTTCTCCTGTTGCCTCTCCCTGTGGGTTACTCCCAATCACGTGTGCCATAACCTTGGCCTTGAACTTCATTTTAAAAGTGATGGATCACACAATTTGTCATGATAAGCTCCCCTAAAAATACTGGAAGAAAATATGGGAAAAATCCTTTCTAACACTTGGAGTGAGGAAGCCTTTCCAACTCCATCTCAAAATTCAAAAGCTATAAAAGATTAATACAGTTGTCTACCTGGAAAAAATCCGCATGGCAAAAAAACATTAAAGCAAAATCAAAAGACAAACAATAAATGTAAGAAAAAATATTTGCAATTCTTATCATATACAAAGGGTAATCTTTCTACTATTTAAAGAGCTTCCTCATATTGATAAGAAAGACCAACAATTTAATAAAAACTGGGAAAAGAACATGACAGATCACAAAAGAGAAAATACATAAGGTCTTAAACACATATGCAGATGTTCACTTTCACACATAATGAGAGAAATGAAAAGACAATACTGAAATACCATTTTTTCCTTTATTGCATTAGCAATTTTAACCCATTTGTCTGACAAAACACTCTTTTGGCAATACCATGGGAAACTTGTTGGTAGGAATGCAAAATGATACAAATCAGACAATATTTATCAAAATTATAAACTTATGTACACTTTGAATCAGCTTTCTCACTTGTGAAAATCTATCTGAAAATCTATCTGGATCACTTAGCTATTGCTTCC